GTCTCATATTAATGGGTATCCATATGCTATACTAAATTTAGTACAATGTACTTAATTTAGTACATATTTGAACTGATGATTAGAATGTATTGCATCATACAATTGACACATAAAAATTTATGAAATGTATGCAAGTGGGTATGGTTGATTACAGTGATTTCAGAAAAAAACACTTCTTAATAAACAATACATATAATGTCCAGGGTATTGAGAAAGATCACTATTACTAGAGTTGGGTAGGGTTAGGGTTATGGTTGACTCAGAGCTTCTATTACTATGTGACCAATGCTGTCAGAATTTTCAAGACATTCTGGAAGGGATTGTCAAATACGTGTAGCCGCTCATGATTATCTTAATAATGCTCAACTTCAACAAACGAACACAGTCTTTATGTTGAGATGGAAGATAGATAAACGTAGTGCGGCTCCTTAGTTGGATTTATTTTTGCGAGTGTTAGACGATGGGAAAGCTGGGGGTGTTATGCACTATCATTATAAGCCAGCCATTAGCCGCTACATATTGTTCCATGTTTAATGGCGTCATACTCACATTCGTATCCTACACTTATTTGCAGTATAACAATGTAAAAATAAGGTGTAGGTACACCTTGTTTATACGCAAATAGGTTGATCTCGTACTGTCAATTAAATATTTTCTTTACTAGTCCAATCTGACATACGTCCATTCAGAATGGGCTTAACTTCCCATCTGACATCTGACATACGACAGCTGTACCACAATGGCCGCGTAATGATGGGGTACGGATAATACCTTGATCCACGGCCGCTATGCGAACCTGGTGAGTCCGAGGAAGATGTCGCGTATGGAATGTTTTGGCTGCGTATCAGGTAAGCTAACAGTTTCATTTCCGTTCCATCGGGTTATTCTAGACGTATGGAACGTACATGCGTTAGCGTATAATACGTTTGGATCTCGAGAAAACGGTGTTGAATTGTATACCTCGAAATTTTTCTTTGAACTCTCGCCCAATACTCTTGTTTGTTTCAACAGAGATATAGCTGATTTACGCATTCTTGTAACAGAATTGTACGATTACTTCTCAAACGCGACTCGATGCGTTGTTCAATAACGATCAATTATCCGTTATTAAATCGTCATTTACTAAAATAGATTAACCATTTTCCACCCATAGTAACGCCGATTCTGTAAACGTATAAAAGTATGTGGTAATGTAAATTCATTAATAAAATAAGTAACGAAATATTTTTAAAGACGAATCTTTGTTTTTATTTTATTTTCCGGTTTCCGTCAAGTTATAAATACAAAACCTTATTCAAATTCTGTATGTAATCTCCAGCACAAAGTATATTTCTCAAAGCACCAATTGCTTATCACTGGACTCTTCCCATCTTGTGAGCAGTCTATTCTGTACGGTTGATTTATATACATGTCACCAAATTAGTCTCTTCAAATAGCAGTCAATCCATAGAAGTAATAATCCAACTTACTCTTACAAGACCCATCAACAATTCCCATCCCACGTCGACGTTTCCAGTTAACAACCTCTCCACCATCTTGTTTCCGTTTCGAAAGCCGCAGATGACGTGACGGTGGTATTCATTTCTGATATATCGGGTTCAGCGCTGAACTGATGATTCAGTTCTACAGTGTCGAGGACGGTGATTGAATGTCTATAGCATCACAGGTCTGTTGATTTTCAACTGAAGCTATAATGTTGGGCCTGAACACCTTGCTACAGTAAAAGAAAAATAAAAGGTGTAAGTCAAATAAACCAAGGATATAAATCGTAAGGAATCGCAAAACAATGCTACTAACAATATTATGCGTAACTATTAGTGTTTTTGGCCGGGGTAGTAATATTTTCGGTGGCTTAGTACATTCAAATGATATATTTCCCATCGTTCGATTTATAGCGTGTCTACTAATAGTAAAAAAAGATTGGTTTATTCAGCAGTCCGATATGACGAAAGATAAAGGTCAACGAATAGTTACCATTATGGAATGCCATGACATTGGTACTCAACCTTAGATGACTAGAAAAGTGAATCTTGCAATCACGGGACTTAATCAGGTACTACCGATCAACTAGTCCAATGTTAAATTAGATACTGAATTTTATGCGAATGCCGTTGTTGGTAATTGAGATGTCTGAATGGATCCAATATATTGGCGCATCAATTTTGACCGGGTCATGACAAAAAAGTCTGTTCCTCTCCCCCAAAAAACATGTACTTACATCAAGAAGCGTAGCACGATGATACACTCTGTTGCTATCATGCCTATAGGGCACCGTTGTACGTGACAGTCCCAGTCTTTCATATGGTACTATTACGTCTGTTGTTGATGTTACTTATTGTTGTTGAGTGGCAGTGTTTGTTGAAGTGTATACAATGTCACTGAAGCGTTTTTTGCAATCTTCAAAAAATGTACAGTTAAAATGACGAGCAAGAAAAAAAAATACGCACAAATTAGAATAAGGTATCGAATACATAATGTAGTTAGGTATGATAATGACATATAGAGCATGTGCTTCAACTTACCCTGACTATGGCGTGTCATTGAGAAGGCAGTATCACGCGTATAATGTCATAATGACAATAATCGAAGAGTATTATGTATATAGCTTTTTCATGAAGAAGATTGCTTATATTAGTTTTTATCAACACTCGCCAAACTATTACATTCATTAAAGACAAACTAGCAAGAAATAAAACTCACAAACCGTCACGATGCTCTCTTAAACTTCAGACGCATCTGAACACAGTCCGCACCAACTAACAAAGATCAAGCTCCTTCCCGTCTCACAATGACTACAAAAGCATGAAACACCGCATTACACTTACATTACACTATCTTCTTCTCGCCTACCCTCTCCTCATATGCTCATCACCATTTCGAAGAAAACTCACTCAACTATCTTTGCCCATACCTATTCGTATGACTAATTTTTTGCTTGCAGCGCCATTGAGTGGGCATGAGTCGTGGATTGTAACTTATTAGTAATATAACAGCATTTTCGAGAGTTAAGAATGGGTCGAGAATTTGGGGGATTGAGGTTTTTGCCATCTGATTGACGTAGTAAAGGGTATCTACATAAAAAAAAATAAATTGAATCGGCAAAATATATATAAGCACCTCGTCTCTTTTAATCCAATCCTTATAATCCTATCC